CTCATCTACTTGGAACGTAGAATTTAATTGAACATTAATTACGATAAATCGAACATCAGATCCTATTTAAAATTGTAGTCAAAGTTGACCCAATTGACTCACCATTTCCAACACCTTTTCCGATTGCTTTCTAGTTTAAATGAAAAACGATAGTCACCTTCCTATTCTATTTTCGATTCTGATAATTAGTTAAGTCATCTTAATTCAACAATGAAAACTCGTGTGTTAGGAAATGCCTCGTTCCATTTGAGGATAGTTCGAGTGACGTAGAGCAGAAAATACTAAGTGAGATTAAAGAATAAAATTCAATAATAGTAAATTATGTCCATATTGTCGAATTCATATTTTGTTAAAAGAAAAAAATAGGAGTCCAACAAGTGCAATTCATTGTTAAATTTATCAAAATATTGAAGATTATTACATTCTTAGAAAATCAAATAAAGCATTTGTTTTGGTTTACCATTCTCTTTTCTCTTCTATATCAAGTTCGTATCATTTTTATTTTATGCAAATATGTCTCAATCATTTATATTGTAACGTTCTTGATTAAAATATAATACACGTAGTTTTCACCAAATTAATAGATAGATTTGGACCAAGAATATTGTCTAACGTGTGCAGGTCAATTGTTTAGGAAGGAAGAAAACGAGAAAGCGCGTTAACGTTGCTGCAGTGCGTTGCGTGCCTGTGAGGGAAAACAAGAATAGTTTTGAAATTTTTGAGTTTTGACATTTTCAATTATATAGTTTAATTGAATACGACTGTAGAGGTCAAACAACGTAAGAGCAAAGTCGGGTTCTAAATTGATGTCTAAATTAAAAAAGAAAAAAAACAATAATACGAATTTATGTTACTCGTCTATAATATATTAAATCATGTTAAGTAAATCATTTTTTAGACGAGTTTAACCCAACTACAATTCAATTATTTCAACAATACCTTATTTCTTATATTTTCAATATATAATAAATACTATAAAATTCTCGTTATGTACGAATTTCATGTTATTAATTAACATTAATATTGATCTTGACTTGATGAACCCCTATCTACACGTTCTAGAGTTATGACATATTATACATGAATTTATTTCTATTCATAAATCTATGAATTTTAATAGGTGTTTAAATTCATGTATTCGCAATTAATTCTTATGTACTAAATGTAGTATAAAACGTTGTTCATTTGTAGTATTTCATCATTAAAAAAATTGAATTATAAAAGTTGAATTTTGAGAATACAATTTTCTTCTATTAAATTTCTATCCTAAATTTTGTTTTCTTTAATTCGTTTGATTCATCAAATTCTCTCAATAAATTGATATTAAATATTACTTTTATGGTACTTATAAATAGTGTGTTTGAATCTAATTTTGAGGAGAATAAAAATTTTGAAATAGTGATTGATGTGAGAATGTGTGGTGGAAAAGTGATGAAAAAATTTTGATTTGTGTATAATATTATTTTATTTGGAGAATGTGTGGTTGAAATGAAGAATGAGAATGAAAATGAAAATGAGAAATTAATGGGTATCAAACGGGGCAAAATATTTCAGAATAACGTGTAATATACGTTCAAATTTGACTAATCTTAAAAAATTCACCTTATAATATTGAAGTCTAAGAAGATCAATATTTTTAATCTTTTGTTAACCTTATAACATTGAAGTCTAGGACTCAATATTTTTTATCGAACACTGCTTGGTGTACAGGGAAATTTTGCCAAGACTCCTTACATGAGGTACTCGTCATTTTTACATTGATTGTTGGCGAAAAAAAAAAAAGAAGAAAAATCCATATAGGTGGTGTGTTGCTGTACAAGGGGAATAACTCATTTTCTATTTTGGAGAGTTGTATTATTCATCTAAGATAGAAGTGACATTTCAATCTCAAATAATTGGATTGGATTTATCTCTATTGTTCATTTAAAGAGGAAAGTTTATAAATAAAAAGTAATGTTATTCAACATCACTGATATCAATCACCAGTTTAAATAGAAATTGTATAAAATTAAATGATAGATTCATTTAAATGTAATATTACATAATTTATTTAATTGAATTAAATGTAACTTTCTAAATCGGTGCTCTAACATCACTAATGGTAAATATCATTCTTCATTAATCAAAGGACACCTCACATGTAATAAGCAACAATTTATGATGGTTTGGTTTTGGCGCGTGTTCTATGTCAAAGATTTTAAACATCATAGTACCAAATTTTAGACATCACATTTTAATCAACTTTGAGGTAACACATAAGAATGTATAACTAAACTACAAAGCACTCCACCATCCATTTATCTTGTTGTACACATACAGAATGCCAAAACCAACTCCAAAGGTGAAGAATCCGATGTTCAAAACCTTAAAATATACCTGCATACATTAAAGCTAAACAGATAAAGAAATCAACATATACGACGAGAAATCCAACGACAAATTTGATGATGACGTTGGGAGTTATTTTAATATAGTATAATGACAGCTAATGAAAAATAATTATTTTGGAATGCAAAAAATCGTCGATAAAACTAAGCCCTTTTTGGTTAGGCTAAAAATTAGATTTTTAGCATATTTTCATAAAGTTAATGAAATATGTAGTTGAGAAGTTTATAGAAGTTGTATGTTCCTTAAAATATGTGGTTGAAAGTAAATTTGAGAAAAAATGAATTTTATAAAATGAGGGTCAAACATAGACTAAATCTTGATTATTGTTTTTTCGAACAAAAAATTGTTATGAGGGATATTCGTTAATATTTTTTTTTATAAAAAATGAAAATATAAATATAGAAAGGAATATATGTTACACCTATAAATTATGTGGCATATTCAGACGGAAGATGTCCATATATATGTCAAAGTGACATCTACTATCCAATTGATTGGACTTATTTAATTACACAATTGTATATTGGGCTTGGATTTGTGCCCATTTCACTAAGAGTCCGTTTGACAACTATTTTTGTAAAAAAAGTGTTGAGTAGTGATTTTTAGAAAAATGTGTGGTTAAAAAGAAGGAAATTTTTTTGGTATACATGTAGAAAATTTTATCGTGTGAATGTATGATTGAAAATGATTTTATAGCAAATCGTAAAATAAATTAATAGATGTCAAACAGACACTAACCCCACTTGCCCCATATCCATTTTTCTATATGAGAATTCATTTCACATGAGGCAAGTAACCCAATTTTAGCCAAATTTTGTCTCGCTCTCTTGTACTCGTAATATTTTCGTACGACATTGAAC